TAAAATATTGGTGTGGAAAATATGAAAATGGGGAGAAAGTAATGTGTTCCTTTAAATATCTGTGGCTGAAAAATTAACAAGATTGCTCCATTCTTGACTTTCCCAAATTCAGAAACATCTATTTCCTCTTTTTCTTCTTTCCTATTTTACCAAATTTTGGACAGAAAACCAAACAAAGTTTTGTGACCAAAAATATAGTCATTGCCACACAGACTAGCAAAAATACAATCACATCCAAAGAGCAGCATTGGTACTAGGAGAAGTTGTGGGCAGCTAGCCGAGGGTGCTTGGCTCCTTTGTGGCTCAGGACAAACTCGATCCAGAAAACTGCTCGATCCAGGGACTTTACAGGTTGATCATGGTGAATTCTCGATAATCTCATAGCATTCTCTTTATAACTGGAAAGCAAGATCACACATGGAAAACGTAGAGTTTTCTTTTGCTTTCATTAAAAAGAAGTAGGTAAACCATAGCATATGTTATACAAGTCAAAAGCTTGTTGAATTAGAGATTGATTTTTGTTGTGGTATGAACTTTGTTGGTTGAATAGCACTGAACAGATATAGTGGGGAAATTGAAAAAGAAACATATTTTTACCAGAATGGGGTAAAATGAAGGCATAGGAAAATACTTAGTAAGCTGGTCTTTAATTTAAATCTATGGTTTCTAAGAAGGAAGATTGACACTCTATGAACTAACATTTGCAGGACTATTGCAATACTAAGATGATGAATCACCTGAGATTGAGGGGAAAGATCTTTTAAATAGTCTTCCGGTATGGCCCCTAACATTTTCTAGTATGATGTATAACATAATCAATGGTAGATAAGCCTTTTAAAGCAGTAATACTTACAAAATATCATTAATAACTGTTCTCAAAGACCTAAGCAAAACTGTGCTTGTAATTGTATTCATGTTCACTTGCACAGCTGCTCCTTTGGCTTTCATGTGAGAGGTGTTATCAAGATGATCACCAAACATAGGAACTCCCATCACAGGGACTCCACGGTAAATAGCTTCATAGATCTCACTTATGTCACCTTGAGTGATAAAAGCTTTGGTCTGGGGATGATCTAGTTGGGAAACTGAATGAGAAGTATAGTTTTTATTATCATAATCTGAAAAGAATTTCAGAGACTCGTAGGGAAAAAAATCTATGAAATAACTCACTGAAGAGGGCAGAATTTTCTACAAATGTGAACAAAAAGGGCATCATTACAAAAGAAATTTGCTATCTTGAGGAAAAGAGGCATTAACTTCTTTCTCCATTGCTTGAAACTTTTACTTTAAAAATAGAAAGTAAGAATCAAAAAAATTAATGACCAATTATTTAATTATATGCACTTTAAAATTAAAGGTAAAGTAACAAACTATAAATTTTAAATTTTTGTTAAATTTATTAAGTGTTAAACAGTTATTCAGTTTTCCCCTCATGAAATTCATTATTTTTACTTTGTCATAATCTTACCATGAAGATCACTCTGGGATATCCAAACATAGGGCTGTGTATTGGCTCCTAATGCAGTTGGTTTCTTTCCTTTGAATCTCCATAAAACCTGAGGAAGAAAATGTATGCATTTCACAAGCTAAACCACAAGATAATAGCATTTTGAGTTTTCAGAGCATTATAATTCATATAATCCACTCTATTTCAGATGATATTTGAGACAGGGGTATATAAGGGTCCTTTGTCATCACTGAAAGAAATAGTAAGACTATTGACAGTCACCTTTTAAAAGGGTGTATACCATTCAACTATTAAGTATACCATTTGTTATTTTGTCTACTGCAAACTCAAAGCATCTAGGAGTGAGATTATAAAAATAACAAAAAAAGCAGTGTTGCATAATTTGTCGCATATGGAAGTTAAGTATTCTTATGGACACTCAACTTCTGTGTAAATGTAAATCACTTGGCCATTCTAGGTCTATTATCAAATTTACAGTTTCCCAGAGACAAATATTTCTTTGGTTTTTGTCTGGTTTTGGATAGTTGGTTGTCTTTTCTCTTTATGCCTCCTTCTCTCCTTTATATCATTTATTTCTAATTCAAAAACAAAGAGACAGGAGTTACCTATATTTCTTTGTTCAAAGTTAAATTTTGTTTGTATTTGTACCTTAGTTCCATACTTTTTTCTTCCTGGAAACCTACATGAAAATCTTGCACTTGAAAACAAAGGATTACATAGATAGTCTGAACTCCCAAAAAGAGAATCTCATGACTAAAACTAATTTCACATTCCTAATTAGCATACTTGCTTTTATTGAGTGTTTTTAAATTAAACAAAACATAAAATTAAAGAAAAACCTCTTGGCTAGTGTATAAATAGCATTAACTAAAGAGAGGAAAACTGGAATT